GGTTTCTCCTTATCTCTTCAAGACTGGTCCTCACAGCACAGGTGCTTAAGCACCTGATTTTGCATCCATTTCAGTGGAAGTTGAGGAAGAATACAATACTAAGATTAAAACACTTCTATGGGCAATCCAGAGATTTATAGGACATTAGTAAAGCTCTTAAGTCAGCGTATTAACCAAACAGAGAAAACATCCCTGAGGCTCTTCTTTCAAGAGGGGGAAGTGCCTCTAGAGGTGGATTAAAGCATAAGCGCTATTCGCCCATAGCTGGGATCACATATTCTGAATCACGAGTTTACATTAGAATTGCTACTTTCACCTTTCAAGCATTATTTAGCAGTGAACCACACTAGATACAGCTGAATTTCTTAAGAACTTGAAAGACACATGTTTATTTAATTCCTCTGTTATCTACTACCTGGGTACAAAGAGTAAAGTTGTTTGTGTTGGGGAGCCCTTGGGTTGCTAAAGGAAGTCAGTCCAAGGCTGAAGATAAGGCTGGCACACTTGGCCTTGCCTTTCTGGCGTCAACGACTGCACGTGCCCGAGCTGAAGAAGGGCAGAACATAGGCAATGGTTTCTGATTTCCTCAAGATATGTTTTGTAATGAACACAGAGATGCAGGGGATTAAAAAAAAATACACCCCACAACAAAAAAGAAATCCAAGGAAAAATCCAAGAGTAAAAGAGGGAGAGATGGAAGGTATCAGAACCTGCTGCTGGAGGTATGTCTCTCTCCAGCGAGGGCCACCAATAAAAACCAGATGACAAAAGCATTTGGTTTTCTGAACAGTATTTCTGTATTCACATCTCCTAAGAAAAGACTATACTACAAGGTCTTGAAGAAGTCAGAAAACATTTCAGGGCAATCAGGTTGCAGGATACCGATGGACACATTGGCTACATATTGAGAAAACCCTATTCTGGGAGCCCCTCAAAGACCAGATGTAGAGAGTTTCTTAAGCGGAAAGGTCTTGGGCTTCCAAAGGCTTAGCTCCAGTAGCACAGTAGAAGGTGACCATCCATATGAAAACTGACTGGGTTGTAACACTAATTCTTCTTGGTCATTAACAAAAGTTTCAAAATCTGGTTTTAAGTCTATCCTACACAGCAATACCTGTGTAAGACTATAAGTAGTTTGAAGTATCTCTGAAAGCTCAAGATACACTGCATGCAGCTCCACTCTTAAAATCCAAGTCGGTACTCTTAGTAAGACAGGCCAACCACAGGTACATCAGGAGACTTTGGAATTGATAGACCTTCTACAACAAAACCAGTAAGGGCCCAGGGCTGTTTTCTCAGTCTGTCTGAGTGAACGTAGCATCTCAGTGGTAGCCAGTTTTAGTAGTCCATTAAACTACTAGTAGATGGATGAGATGACAGCATGGCAAAGAGGGGCTCCAAGTTATAAACCAGCTGTGATCTGGCATAGGAATAGAGCTAACTGAATCCAGGTCTTAGTCGACTTCCTCATGACTCTGCAGTACAGTCTCATGCTTAGGAGACACAAGGCTAAGTTCCGAAAACCCACTGCTTAGTTTTGCCTTAAGGTTTTGATTGGTGCTATTGCTGGGGAGAAGAACGCTTTCCAACAGCACACCAGAGCCCACCTGGATTTTCAGATCAGTGCTTCGCACATACTCAAGGATAATGCAAGCAGACTTCTTTTTCTGGAGTAAACCAGTGTGAAAGAATAGTAACACGGCGACAACATCCTATGGCCTTGGATGAACTGTTAATCCAACATTTGGAGATAGCAAGCATTTTACAGCACTTTTGGTGAGATTGGTGGGTGGTCTCCTCAGATGATGCTCCTAATTGTTCCAGTATCCTATTTCATTGAAAGCTGCCTCTATTTTTAACTAGATAATTTGATTTTGTGTTCAAAACTGCTTTAAGATTGTCGATAAACATGTACCATATACAGCTTAAGAGATACATAGCTTAAGAGATACTCTCCTTAATAAGAAATTATTATTAATAACATGTTTATTAAAAGCAATTTTATTCATTTTAAGCATGGTAAATTGAAAAACATTAATTTGCTTATTTGTCTCATAATCTATATGAACACTACTTTTAAGATTTTAAAGAAAATATTACTGTTAGCACAATACTATTAAAATTACCAAGTCAAAGCATAATAATTCCATGAAATTGTGGGCATGATTGATTTTTTTAATGGACCGTTCACTTGTTCTCTGACCCCCTAAGGATTTTTGCTCCTAGCCTCTCATACATAGTAAATTCATTAAATCCAACCTATTTCCCCAAAGTATTGCATCATTATAGAAGTATACAGTATCAAATACCAAGTAAAATAGAGCAAGTGAATTGTACTGCTAGAAACATCGAGGAGGCAAAAAAACACAGAAAACAAAGTTAAAATAGCAGCCATTCTGAAGCAACACTGACAGTAATATTTTACTGTCTCCTAGTAAGCATTTTGAGGGATTGTTCAGTTAATCTGCAAGAGTACTCTTCATTAACAGCATGTATCTAACATCATTATTTTACAGGATCAAAAGGAAACTCTCCGCAATCTAACTGCAACAATATTTAGTCTCTATGGACCAAATCAACATCTGAATTTTTCAGAAACATAAGGAAGCACCTCACACATTTGGTTGCTATTTTATTGTCTTTTATTAGTCATACATGCCACTACCCCAAAGAACTTGCATTCTCTTATAGTCAAAAAGGGAAAGAGAGTAACGGGAGGAGGAGGATGACCCGTGTTACGATAACATCAAGCTGTTACGAAGTTCTGGCACATGCATTTTCTGCAGTTTCAGTGAACACACAAAATTGTTTTTACGACACACAAGGAGTGAGATTCCAGGAAAGATTCAAATTGGTTAGCATAACTTGATGGACAGGGATTAGGAATTTGCTCCATGCATCAGGGGCTATACAAATAATTTCATAATTCTACCTTGGTACCCAGCGTGACTATTGCAACCTCTCTCACATCACCACATGGACAGTCTATACTCTCACCATTCTTACTGAGAGAGACACAGAGACACAGAGAGACAGAGAAAGAGAACGAAGAGAGAGAAAACGTTACTAACTGAAACCTCAACTCTTTCTTCTTTGAATAAATGTATATGGCTGATTTTCTGGGGACTTAAGGTCACTCAGAAACCCCCCGTGCTGGGCAAGCTTGGGCTCAGCAGAGCGTATTAAGCCAGGGATCAGTGCTGTGCATGTGTGGCTAACCTTGCCCCTGCCCTGAGCTGCCTGGAGCGACGGAGGCAGCTTTCCATGGCTCTGCATCCCTGGCACGAGTTTATCCACAAAGTGGCTGGTCTGCCCACGCGTACAGGGAAGCTGACTGCACAAACACCCTCGTATGCAAAGTCACTTATTCCCTTCAGCTCCAGTATTCGCCTTTGCCATTTAATGTGAAAGCACATTACTCTTAAAAACAGGAACAAATTTAATGACCCTGCTTCACTTTTGTTAAAAAAGAGAAAATAAAAAACTATCAGACAAGTAAAAAACAACCAAGCACTGTGATCCAGCTACTTTCTACTGTCAGAATGGACAGAGAAAGACATGAATAAATTTTTACCTCAATTTATGCTAGTAATATCTGTTAAAGGGTAAAAAAAATCATGTAATGTAATCCAAACAGATGATCACAAATGATAAAGTTTCTGCAGTTTAACAAGTTACTGCTGATCTTCATTATCTAATAAATGTATATGCCTAGCCAGACTTAACTATAGTATAAATCACTCAACCCTAAAAGAACTGAAAGCAAACCATTCTAGGTTTAATTGAGGAGACTACACAAGCATTACTGTGGCTCTGCTATACCAGAGAGCTGTTAGAGTGATGAAGCCACCATTTATAAACTTCTGTTCTTACCGGCAGAAGACCAAGGTGCACAGAGATGATGGCTAAAGGGATCATTAGGACTAACTAGTCATACCTCCTATACACGGACAACAAAATTTCCCTCTGTAGTTCCTGCATCCACCCTCAAGTTATGGTTGAGCTATAGCATAATTTGTAGATAAATCATTCAAATTCATAGTTCACTTTCACTGCTAAATGTATCTGAATCTATTTACAACTCAGCATTCAAACTCTGTAACCCTTTAGTCTCCTTGCTGAAGAGATGTCTACGCAAAGAGGCCTTCTCTCCACGCACATCCCTGAACACTAATTAATTTACGACCTAAGCTTTCCAAGATTTTGACTAAATTGATGTAAGAGATACCAGTCTAGGCCCCAAATATCTAGGGCTACAAGAGACAGGACGAAAAGTAGGTTGGAAATATTGAGAAGAGCATATGACAAATATATTATATAGGTTTTTAATGTTAAGGGAAGCTGACAAGGAAAAATAGAGGTACTCACCACTCATTTTTACAATTAGCAGTTTAATATACATATCATTCCATAAACAGACTGCATGACACATAAATAGACTGAACTCCAGTGACAAATATACTGGTAAATATAATTTTAAAGTTTTTTTCTAAAGATATCAATGAAAAAACTAGATAAGCAAGACTTTGAAGAAAAATACAAAACATACTTCATTCTATATAAATATCTGTTTTCTGAAAATGTCAATAAAATCAGTTAAAGAATATATAGAGAAAACATTTCATTTTATTACTTTAGTCTCCTCAACAAGGAAAGCAGCTCTGGGTCTATAAAAGATGCTTAATGCAGCCAAAGAAGCTGTTGATACTAATGTCCAAAATAAATCCAGCTTTGTCTTGTTATTTAAATTGTATAAACATATCAACATTTGGGAAATTTCATCAGTTAAAACTGAACTTCAATTATTTAATTTCAAAAACAAACTCCCTCTATCAAGGTTTAAGCAAATACTGAAGTCTACCTCTCCTGTTCTTGCTTCATTCGTATTCTCTCCTCTTCTGAAGTAAGAGCTTCCTGCACTTTTATTTTACCAGTTTTCTCACTCTTGTCATCTTTGCGATGTTTGCCAAACCTGTTAATAACACACAAAAAAGAATCTAACTTGTGAATTGAACAAAACTGTATTTTCCTTTTCCTATGACAAAGTGAGTGCTCCAAGAAGGGCTGCTTGGCAACCAGGAAGGGAAAGTGCAAAGACCTCAGAATCAAAATTTATAATATTTTCAGGCTGCTTTGCCTTTTTTGTGTAGGTCTTTTTTTTTTTTTTTTAAATTTCATTCCTCTTAAAAGTTTATAGAATTCCTCACTAAAGAACAGAATAAAACAAAACAAAAAAAAACACAAAGGACCACATTCCTTTTTTCTGCCAGGATTTTGGGGTCACTATTCTTAAATACACAGTCAAACAATGTTTTAGAAATTACCCAACGCTATCACTGCCAAAGAACGCGACTCCAGTTTACATTAAGCGAAGGCTTTCATGTATGAACTGCAAGAGACACAGCACTGTATGTCTGACAACTGCCCGGAGCGCAGTACCACCCTCCGCACGCATCCCACAACAGCAGTTTCACCACACAGTGGACGCCATCCAAAAATAGAAATTTACTGTTTTTCAGCACAAAGTTTTTTTTTTAAATTTCATTACTCGTGACTCGTTTACCCCAAGGGTGCTCCAGTGCAAGCAGGGTGAGTGGACGGGTGGAGCTGGCTGGGCTGTGCCAGACAGAGCGGGATGATGCCAAGCCAGTGTTTGCCCTCTTGTCTCCCCTTCCCCTCTACCGGCTACATTTCAAGTATTTTAGGTTTCTTCTATACTTGCACATTCCACTGTTTTCTTTTAAACTTTCAAGCAGAGCACAGTTTGGCATTTGAGATAGTCAGTTATTATGAGGACAAAATTGCATGTGTTTCAGACATAGTCTGAAAGGAACGACTTCTGTATAGGGTGAACCAAACAAGCACTTAAATACAACCCTCAAATACATCGGAAGTTTAGATGACAATTTTCTATTGAAGTCAGAAGGGATAACACATATCTGTTAGACGGTATCTTATTCTAATACATACCTATTAAATGTGGGATCATTTATCATACCAAAGGCAGCAAGAATTTCGCTTTTTTTTAATCAAACGCTCAGCTGAGAGCAGACCAACACTTACAGCACTCCACACTCAGGTTCACATCAAAAGTGAGATAAAAGCACTGAAATGTGCCAAGTCCAGCAATGGTGTGGACAGGACACCCTGAACGCTCACAAACAGTGAAATAAAACAGAGTTCTTATAACTTTCTTCTGACCCATGAACGTAAACTGTTTAAACTATTTAGAGTCCACCAGGCATTTATAATATTTCCCCTTTTGTTCCTGTTTATTCTAATACAAAGCCACTGTGGGTTGAAGACGCACCACACAGTGACCTTGCCAAATGATTAATTTCTGGCCACAGTCAAGAGTTATTATTATACTGCGTAACCATGTTTATGGCTCTTAGGGCAGCTGTTTTAAAACACAACACCACAAAAACACAGCGTAGGAGCATGTACACAAACTTTAAAGTGTGTGGCTGTTCTCCACAGTTCCCAGATTGCTCATTTCCAAAGTAATTCAGGCATCTGAAAACTAAAACTGTTCATTAACAATCACCTGAAAAGGGAAAGGCAGAGGACATGATAGGGTTAAGAAACACAGAATAGGACACAAAGTTAAAGTCTCTGATTTTATAATGTTATCTGTAAAACTGACATACTTAAATTCAGTGACTAGAAACACCAGCATGGATCGTTTAAAACATCCACCTGTTTATCAGAAAGTAGTCAAAACCATTGTACAAAACATTTACATATCTGACACAAGAGATTCAAATCAAGTTCTGCATGTCATACACCAGACAAAAGAGAATGGTTAATTTTAAATAGCCCTAAATCCTCTAGCCGAGAGAGGAGTTTTGGCAGAGAAACAGTGGAACTGAGCCATTTTACCCTGATACACAGAGAGTGCCGGGGGTGGCAGGGGTCTGACTGACGGAACACACAGACCTGCAAGGAGAAACGCAACATATGTGGTACTGTAGCACAGCATCTCTGGGATGCCCACGCTTGCTTCTGTCTCCTGTCCTTCCTTGACCCATTCAAAAGGTCAGGCAAGCAAAGGAACCAAATTCTAGAGTAGCTAGTTTGTTTTTGAAAATGAACTATTGGTTAATAAAAAAAAAAAAAAAAAGAAAAAAATAGATAAAACTGAATTAGTTAGTATGCATTAGGTTTTGGCAGCAAAACAGAATTTCTACCACCATAAATCAATTCATTGCAAGTATAAACAGAAATATACCGAAATCAATACCTTATTAAAAAAAATAAAGTACACAGGAAATTTCTAATAATCCTTGTAAGCAATCTAGTAAATGTCTGGTCAGGCTGCATGATTGTGGGGAGACTTTCTAACACTAACACATAAAGCAAATCTAGAAAAAATCGATGACTTGAGTTTCCAAATCCGACCGCCCAAGTCCAGAACACACCACACTTGTGCTGCATTTCAACGGAGGCAGAGGTGCGTTTACCACATGGGCAGCGCTCGGAGCAGCAGGAGGGTTCAGTTTGCTTGGACTTATGAGCAAGCTGCAGCAACAACCCTTATCCTCTTTCAGGGCTTTCTTCCGATTGTCTGGGAACGAACATTCCTTCTGCCCTTGGGGACCATTCTGATAAAGTCTCCAGAAGACAAATCTGGTCCTTTCCCAGGCATTTCTAAGTGTGGCCATACTGTTCCCACTCTGACTGGAGACTTTCCAGTGGCCAGCTTTGACAGCTCTCTGGTCACCCCAGCAGTGGGCAGCCTGGCAGAGTATGAACCATGGTGGTCTTGCAAAGTTGCCTTCTCTGGACTTTGTCACCCGCAGAAGTGATATATCTGCCATAATCACCACTGCCTGTAACAAGTTCAGCAACACTAACTGCACTGTCCCTACACTTGAACCTGGAATAATCAACGCCATCCTTCCTCATCCCTGATGGTGGCTTCGTGTTTTTAACACCATCACCTGCACAGATCATGTCTACATGATGCTCATAAGTCATGAAGCTGCAGTGCGGTTTGGAAACACACTGCCCTAAATGGGTCTGGATCTGAACAAGTCTGCATACTTTTAGCAAGACCCCTGTGCAAAAATATTTACAAGTTCAAGGTTTCTCTTTTCCCCCGAGGTCGCACGTCTAACTGCATCTCTGTTAAGCTTCAGCTTACCATAGTAGATATAACACACAAACAAAGGAAACACATTTTTCAGGCTCCACCAAGAGCTTGGGAAAAATGTTTAAAAGAACTGCGAGGGGGACACATATGTACTCCCCCTGCCCCTCCTTTTTATTTCTGTAGGAGCAGTCAACACTCCCCACTCCAAACCTCATTCAAAGGTTTTCGCAAGATTATTCTTGCTGACAAGTGTGTTTGCTATTTATTTCCATTAAAATTGTTTGCTCCATGAAGTAAGATTTATAGTCATAATGAAACCCATAGTCCAAATCAGCACCCTCTCCACCAAATTTATAACATACATTTATAAATTATTTAACATTCCTATTCAAGCCAACTTTAACTACAGAAGAGCAACATCTCACAGTACTAAGGCACACCATTAAAGCAAGCTCTTAACACTCCCTCAGCCGCGCTGTGGTGACTACACTGGTGTCAAGCTATTAAAAATCACCAATACTTCTAATTTCCTCAGGTACATGTTTCCTACTCTGATTCATGGACATTAAATAAAACAGGACACCTAGAAATAAAAATAAGAGAATTGAGACCACTGAAATTCAAGCAGTCTATGCAATGTCCTTTCAAACCACCAACCGCACATCCCACAGCCACCCGGCACTGTCTGGGCAGTGGTAAAGCCCTTCCCGGCTGCTCTCCAGTGGCCCTTGTGCAGCTGTGTGAGTCACAAGCAGCAAAGCATGGGTCTGGTCCCCAGAATTACTCCTCATATTTAAAACAACCCAATTTGAATGCATCGGCCTAGTGAAAAGATCTGGTTTACCTCTGTAAAAGTTTCACCATCTTAAATGTGCAAGTGGTACAGTCCCTGCCTTGCCCCACGAACATTCATGTGTGCGCCACCTTCCCCGCATCCCACCAGTACCTGCACCATTGCGAAGCTTACTTCTTTACAGCTCGGCTACTCAGAAGGAACAGAAGATGGAATTAGGATGGATGTCCCACACATGACCCGTGGCAACTTTGGAACCTTACTGCTTCCAACACTGCTTCTTCCATAATGCACATACTGCATGTCCTGGCACACCCCCGTAATAACTGCCCCCGCTGCAGCGACTGCTCACTTACTGATAACAACCTCAGGCTGGAAACTGCCCAAGTGCAATTGTTAACGATATCTCCCTTGTAAAACAGCAATCACCATCCGTTTGTCCTGTGTCAGAGAGACTCCAGACTTCTGCAAGGACACGGCCTTGAGGATGCTGCCAAGCGATTTGATCCCAGCCCTCGCTGCTCGCTTCACAGACACGAGAGCTGCTCTCCGCTGCACGCAGCTGGTTAGCGAGCGCCTGAAGCACCTGGAGATTCTCTGGCACTTGTCTGAACCTGTGCTGGTCTCATTTGTGTCACTGTGAGGCTGGCTGCTGGGCAGTTCTTACAAATGCAAATGAAATGACAATTTTCCTTCTGAAGCAGACATGAGAACTCTACCACTCAGGATCTGTGCACAGCAATGCTCCTTGCATTAGTGAAAAGGAGGACAGCATTTAAAAACAAAGGTAAGAATAAACTGTTGGAATTAAAAAACAAAACGGTGCAGAAAAGGAGCATCTGTGACACCGATGTTCAGACAGTCCTGGGAATCTAATTCCAAGTTCCTGTCATTTGCTAAGTTCAGTGCCAACAATTTGACTGTGAGCTATAAAAGCCCTACCTAAATCAGCGCACAAGATGCCAACGCACAGACACAAGCTACCACATGATGTGCAGTTGAATTGCGTACAACTACTGCCTCACAAAGTTAACATATTCATGACGAAAGAAGTTCTGACGCTAAGGCTTGAGCTACACCAAAT